GTAAAAGGATATGTGTATATTTATATGCTTGGCAACAAAGGCTATTCATTTGGAGGCTGTTGTTTTAGATTTGACAACTAACAGTTTCTTAGCCTGTTTTAGGCGATTTATAGGACGCCGAGGAAAACCTGCAAGTGTTTTTTTCAGTCAATAGAACAAACTTTATAGGAGGCAACTCTGAACAAAAGAAGCTTTTCAATTTTGTAAGAGAACAATTCAAGACAAATGAAGTTAATTTTTATTTTACAGACCAGAATATAAATTGGCATTTCATCCCAGCAAGGGCCCCGAACTTCAGAGGTTTGTGGGAAGCAGGCGTGAAGAGTTTCAAGTTTCATTTCAAGAGGGTAGTTGGAAACGCAAATCTAAACTATGATGATTTTATAACAATTTTAAATCAAATCGAATCAATATTAAATTCCAGGCCTATCTGTCCCTTACTATCCTCACTTGATTCAATCCCTCTTACACCCGCTCACTTCCTGCTAGGAAGAAGCTTGACAGCCTTGCCGGAGAAGTCGTCCCTCGACATCAAGGAGAATCGTTTAAAGCGATTTGAACGATTGCAACAAATTCTGCAACATTTCTGGAAGAGGTGGCATAGAGAGTATCTCTGTGAATTACAAAAAAGAACGAAGTGGAGATCACATGCTGCAGCACTGCTCAAGGTTGATAGCATCGTCCTTCTCCAGGAAGACAACACTCCCCCATTAAAATGGCCATTGGGAAGAATCGAGGAACTTCATCCAAGTCCAGATGGTGTAGTGCGTGTTGTAACAGTAAAGGTCAATAATAATAGTTTTAAACGCGCCGTCACAAGAGTGTGCTTATTGCCTACAGACTCTAATGATTTATAGATTAAGTTTGAAATTTAAATTATGTTAATGTTAATATTTGATGTTCATAATTTGTAAGCAGTTTTAAATAATTTTGTTTGTATTTTTGAAATAGTTATATATTTCAAGGCGGGCGGCATGTTGTGGCCAAATCTTAATTTTTAAATTTTGCGCGCGAAAGCGTAGCGGAAGTATACGAGAGAGGGAGAAAGAAAAGAACTGTCAATGAAGCCGATCGAAAAAGAACGAAAAAGTTTTTGTCGAATTAATTTTCTGTAGTTATAATCAGTAAAGATATTCAATAGAAAAAAGGTGTGTGATAAAGTAGAAATTACAGTCCTAACAATGTTAATTGTTTATAACAACCATTCGGTGGCATTAAGGTAACGGGTGACTTCCGTTATGCCCTTCCCGACAACATCTTCAAGATTTACAAAGCTGTAACCACCGAGGAAACAGTTGCGGGTCCTATACAAAGCCGGACAGCGGTACAGGAAATGCAGAACCGTTTCCCCTTCCTTCGGGTTCTTGCAGCTTCGGCAAACTTCGTCAAAAGGGAAGCCCATTCTCACCGCATGTGTGCTAATTGGCCAGTCTCCCGCATATACCGCCGTAAGCCTGGCGATATCCTTACGCGAATTAGTTATGAGCTCTCCCGATTTCTTATAAGATCGTATTTGGGCCAAGTTTTCCTGGCTGTCCTGCAGGTGCTTAGTTTTCCATTTACTGTTCGCCATAGACAGAAAATTGTGGTAAATATCTTTTTTATGGTATTGAGGGGAGTAAAAACTTCCTCAGCCTACCTTGACTTACTCAAGCCCAGGTTCGACACAGGAGGGAAAGTCAAATATACAAGAGGTACCTGGAACGAGCCAGATCAAATCTACGGGCCTCCTCTACCAGGCTAGCAACTTGACACCGCTGGCAAAATCCCTCCTGTTAGGCAGAAAGGAAACCAAATCTCCGGGTGGCGGCGCGCTCACACCCACGCCCGCACCATCCACGCCCCTCATCGAGAGAATACACAGCGAAACGCCCACCAACAAGCAGACTTCCAACCAATACTACCGCCAAATTACCGCCGCTCCAGTAGCCGCTCACAGCAGGAAACGTCACCATGCATGAAGCCGGCATCCTTGAAGCCATAACACCTGGCAAGAGGCGAAGATCGCCGTCGGACACGTCTCCTATCCCCGACAGGCCAGCGAAATCAATCAAAATCCCAACCCGCCTACCGACCACGCCGGAAACTACTATCGGCGATACCAGAACCAGAACGCCCTCACCGACGCCTTCCCGAAGCAGCGACGTCGCCTACCTATCACCCCGGCCGAACAACAGCCTAAACGAGACCGCCTACTTTACTCCCGAGCCAGATCCAGTCCCTCAAGACCCACTCAGAGTCATAATACACAGTAACGTCATAGTCCACAGTTATCAGCGAGCAACGAGACACCAAACAGTAACCCCGACTCCTCCGAACAACAAGAGGAAATCACTGGCGCAACATCCAACGACCCCTCTCCAAACCGCTCCTGGCTCACTAACATCGAGGAACCTATACCCGAGAGCCCCGAATTCGCAGAGTTCTTCTATACGGAGCGGAGAGACCTGCCCGTCACTGAAAAGCTCCTGCGGAAAATTATAGATCAGGTACTCCTGGGCTCCAGACGGAATCTATCGACGCCTGGCTGGCTGAAATTTCCAGCAAAACCAGCAGGAAGTCAGCACCGAACCGCCCCGCAAATAACCAAAACTCGGCGAGAAACTATGGAGCTTCCAGAGGTGGCAGGGGTCCACGCGCCAGTGCATATAAAAAGGCTCAGGATCTTTTTAAGAAAGATAAGTCAATGCTCGCTGACTTGATCCTATCCGGTCGAGCTCTGAACGAGCCCCCGGAACTACCGTCCATTCAAGAAGTTGAGGACTTCTACGGTGGATGTGTTTGAGGGCCAGTCTATAGAGGACTCGGAGGAAGTACAACCAAAATGGGCTGCGAACACCTTCCAACCCATCACACCCAACGACGTCGAAAAGGCAATGGCGAACTGGAAGGTGTCGGCCCCCGGGCCAGATGGCCTAACTGTCCAGCAGGCGAAAAACGTCCCGGTGAGATACTGGTCCATTGTGATGTCTGCCATCTTATTCAGAAACACTCACCCTTCATGCTGGAAGCTGCTCCGGACCGTCCTTGTTCCCAAGGACGGCGACAGAAGGTCCCCCACCAACTAGCGACCCATAACCATCGGGTCAACCGGGCAGCGCTTGATGCACAGAGTTCCCACCGCCAAACTAAAGAACTGCATCGAGCTGAACGCGGGTCAGAGGGGATTCACGCAGATCGACGGAACTCTGGCAAACGTCCTGCTTCTTGACCACTACATCCTGTCAAGAACTGAGCAGGGCAAGTCCTTCAGCGTGGTCTCCTTGGACATTAGCAAGGCGCTCGACACGGTGTCCCACAACAGCGTACGCCGGGGGCTAGGAAGGGCGGGTGTTGATGACAGGATGACATCATATATTATGGAGACGTTACGGACCGCTTCCACAAGAATCAAGATCAAATATCGGCAACGCTGCGAAAACCGTCACCCTTGTTTTTTTTACGTCTATGCACTATATTAGTGCACTCGTACTCGATCTCGATAAGATAACGCCAAGCGACCGCGTCGCTAAAGCGATATACTACCTCGTTTCTCAACAGAAACTAGTTCTTTTTACTTAACTGTTCCAAGTCCGAAACTGTTCCAAGTCCCAAACAGTTCCAAGTTCCTAACTGTTCCAAGCGCTAAACTGTTCCAAGCCCTAAACTGTTCAAGTCCCAACCGAAACAGTGGGACTTGGAACAGTTTGAGACTTGGAACAGTTTAGGGCTTGGAACAGTTAGGAACTTGGAACTGGTTGAAACAGTTAAGTAAAAAGAACTGATTTGAGTTGATATAATCGAGGTCGTATATCGGTTTCGTTAGTCTAGCCAAAGTCTAGTGGACACGACTGTTCAGGTGTTATCTGTTATCGGGATACAGGGGCGTAAAAAAAAGTGTGGCCGTTGCCGGTATTTAAAATATTTAATTAAAATGCAACTAAATTTTTATTATAAATTTTAAATTTATAATTTTTTTTAAATATTTTTTTTTAATGTAAACAGAAACAGAATAGGTAAGGAACATTTTTTATTATAAAAATAAAAAAAATGCTGGCGATGTTGCCAAATGCAATATAATTATCGCATTATAGTTTTTTTTTGAAAAATACAGTGTAAGAACAGTCGGTTATTGTTTTGTATTATATGTAACTCTTCCAAGAATTTACTTTTTAAGTATATAACAAAATTATACATCTATATTCATTAGTGCTTATACAGGGTGGGTCTTAAATAAGTGCACATATTTTTAGGGGTGGTATATTTCGATTCTCATGAGTTTTTTTCGGGAAAACATGTTTTTGAAAAGTTTATATTTTTCGAAAATTTGATAGTTTTTTTTTAAATTTTTAGTTAAAAAAAACATTATATGTATCTTGGTAATATAGCAACATAGATAGTAGATTAAATTTAGAGAAAACAGAAAAATCTCCAGTAGTTCTGATTATTTAAGCAAAAAATATTCTTTTCTATAAATTTAAAAAGAAAAATAGCAACCGAATCAGAATGACGCAAGTACGGTATTAATTTTCGTTTTGGAACAGTTTGGAACTGGAACAGGTATCTTTTGCAACTGGAACAGCTTGTACCTGTTATTAAAAAATCGCTGTTCCGGCCATGACTATAGATGAAATTAAGGTACCTGATGGCGTAGAGGTACAGCTTTCGTCCATCAATTTAAAGACTGTGGATTCGAATCCTGCACCAGGCAGGAATGCTGTCTTGCACAAAAACACACAATTGATGGAAATCAGCCGCCAATTTTTAATAAAATAAAAATAGTTTGGATACCTCGGGTCAGGTAGCTCAGCGTGAGATCGACTCAGCCTTAAATGAGTACGTCGGATTCAAAATCCTGAGGTAATAATAGGCGGTTGAAGCGTAGTGCTAGCCACATTACCTTCCTCGTATACCGGACGGCTCCAGCATAGCAAGCTATATCTTGCTACTCCCAATGTGTGTAAACGCTTTATACGAAAGACTATTATAATATATGAAATAATCCTATAAATATTTTTCAGTTGATGACAATGCCATAAAAAAAATCGTAAATTTGTTTAATAAATATCTTGGCAATAATATCACCACCCAGCAGGAAATAGATACTCATGAAGATTCAGATTACAATGAAAAAGGACGAAGTAATTTATTGAACGGCCTTCAGGAAAAGTTGGACCAATTAAAAATGCAGTTAGGTATGCTCACTATATATGTCGACTTGTTATAATTAATTTATGATTATAAATTTCAGAATTACAAAAACACGATGATAATCCTTTTAGCTATAAGGTAGAGAGCAAAAGTACCAGTTTGCACCAGGATATATTTACAAAGATTGTAGTAAAAATTCTAGACAAACTTATAGCAGTAACCCCTACAGTATTGTCTAAGTTATTTGGTAACTTAGTAACTGATATTGGTGCCACCAGTGATTATTACAGTCCACTACAAAACATATTCAAAAATCTTGGCGTTGCTGGGTACTTCCCATTAATCTTAATAAAAATATTAGAAACAACAGGAACTGTCATTCAATACATGAAGAAAAATAGTTTTGTAAGAAACTTCCTTGTTCCAGGAATTTCGTTAGCTTTAGTTGCAGGGGCTGTTTTATTTGTTATTTATTTCTATCAAGATAACCAGTATAATACTGAACTAAGTGATAATAATTATGATTCCAGTATGTATGATATCCCTTACAAAAGTCACAAAAACTACCGTAATACCTTGGAGCCAAGGGAAATGCAATACTTGCCGCCCATGCCATACATCTCAGATAGATTTATTCAAAATGACATTGGTGCACCAAACATCAATAATCTAATACCATATTCAAGAAGCTATTATGATTACTTTAATAGAAAACGTGTAGACAATGTAAATAGTATCTAATAAAAAACACCTAAAAACAACAGCATAAAAATTTATTTTATAACAGATAAAATATGTTATGTACGAAAAAACGACGTCAGCGATGGATGGGAATGTCATTTCCAAGCCAACTGGACGCCTTTTTTTCGATCATACGGTATAAATAACTTCCTACTAATTTAAGTTTGTTTTATCAGCTTACATTGACATTATCAAAAGTTCTAAGAACCTCTGGAAATTCTTCCAGTTTTTTTATTAACTTTTCATACATTTCGTAATCAGATGTTCCTAAATCTTGAGTTTTAAAAGGAATATAATCAACGGATGCATTTAATATTTTATAACCCATGGTTTCTAGCAAATCTTGTGTCTGCATAAAATATGTCTTACTACATACAAATTCCAAAACGTTGTCCTCTAAATAATTAACTTCTTCGGCATTGCTTTCGATTGCATGTTCGGTAGCTTGTTCCATCAATTCCTCTTTTGGTGTCTGAGATAACTTGGAATTTTCAGCAAGTATAATACCTTTCTCCTCAAATATATGAATAGCTCCCCCATCACTATATTTGGACCTTTAATTTGTTGAAATAAAAAAATTAACTGTGACAAACAAATGCAATATCCTACTTACTGATGCTTTCTTAAAACACTTGACATATGTTGTTTTATTAAGTGAAGATTATTGGTAAACAACTCACATAATATAATTGAACTTCCGGGACCCCTTAAACAATAATAATACACCTAATTAATAATTTAATTATTTTATACTCCATGATAGATAGATCAAAGATATTACACGACCGTATCACATTACTTCGTCTCTCAGGCTTGGAGTAAATAGATTAAGTAAGGAAGTCTTTGGGTCGAACGCAATGGGGGATTAATATGGCTGATTTAAATTCGAGTATTTATTAGTACCGTTTTAATTTCATTAATAACGTCTAAAAATATACAGTAAGGTAGCCGTTAAGGTAAGATATTACATACAGGGTGAGTTTTCTACAATGTTCCCTATGGGTATCTCGGAAACTACTGCAGATAAAGGTCGGTTAAATGGGGAAAGACTTGCACATTTCTGGGGTCATAAATATGCACCTTTCAGATTTTTAAAAAGTTCAGGGCTTACTAGATATTTCGAAAAAAAAAACAAATTTTGGCAATTTTAAAAATGGTCCCTAATTCCATTATAATACATTTTAGACAAAAAGATTTTAGATAAAAGTTGTAGATAATTACATCCTTAATGAGATTGTGTCATTTTTTACATATGACACAAACTTATGTTTTCTTAAATGGAAACCATAGTTGGCCATGACTTCATAAAAAGCACCATTTTTTAAGCTTTTCAGCAATATAAGCTATAACTATAATATGTTTTTTTTTCAAAAATTACTGAGTTACAGCCAAATCATATCATTTTTAAACAATTTCACTTAGTTAGCCATGAAAACAAATTCAATTGTTTTTGCTCTCAGAAATGTCAAACTGTCACATCCAAACTTTGTAAATTAAAATAACCAAAAATTTTTAATATAAATTTTTCAAATGAAGTAAAGCGTGTAGGATTATTGGTTCAACTTTTCTTGGCCATACATTTTCGAGGATACGTTACATACGCTTTTTAGAGAATGGTTTTCAAGACATGTAAGAAAAGTTAAATTTAGAGACTCGCGCATCAGTAGAGTCGTTCCAAGATGACTTTCATTGGCTGTCCTCCTTTCACGCAGTTGAGCAGCTCTGAACTGTTCAAGAACGCGATACTCTCACTCCATTCAATTGAGTCATAAAGCTCCAGAACTGTTCCGCGCCATATGGAGGCACCAGGCTATCGAGCACCGCTCCTTTCAGAATCGTTCTCGAGTAGCCCCAGGGCGTAAAGCCCGGAACTCGAAGTTCGCGAATGGAAGACAGCAATTATGACACTCCGCCCCCTCCTCCATAATGAAAGAAATGTTAAAAATTATTTATATCATAGTTATTCAAACTCAGCGTTAGGAAAAGGTGGACTAATTGCATGGGCCTTCTCGATCAACTGACCTATCCATTTTAGATTTTATGCGGTATATTTTTTGAACATTTTCTAAAATAACTTAAAGTGTATGTAGTGATATTATTTTTTTAACCTTTGGTTTGTGTAATGTAAATTGTAAAGAACCGTTTATAAAATATTCTTTTTATACGTTATAAATTATAATAATTAAATAAATAACAGAATAAGAATACCATGCCAACTATGTGAAATTCGTCAAGAAAGATAAGATTTGGCTATCTCACACTAACACTAAATTTTTCGAAAAAAAAATATTACAACTTATATCACTGAAAAGATTAAAAAATGGCGCTTTTTATGAAGTCATGCGGTGGGATTCTGTAGGCTCCGTAGCAAGGAATTTCCTGTCTAGCCTATGCTATTTGTATACGATTGATGAGTCACTAGACAGGGAATATGTTTACAGAATCGCTAGCATGGCCAACTATGGTTTTAATTTTAAAAACATAAGTTTGTGTCATATGTCAAAAATGACAGGCATATGTCAAAATTGATATCGCTCAACTCCATGACAGCTACGGCCAATAGTATATGACATTCAAACAATGTAATTTATGAAATTAAGGGGGATTTTGACGACTCGTGTACATGACAAGTACGCCAATATTTGCGTATTTGGCAACTATGCTATCTCTGATTGCGATGCATGAAAAAAATGCGTATAAAGTTTTATACGTTAAAATCCAGACCACGCTTCTACGATGACCAAATCTGTATGCCCCAATGACTAAAGAATATAAGGACATGTAACGCCCCTATACGGGCTGCAGTAGAATTTGTGACCTTTTTTTTTTGTTTTGGTGGCAAACAATGAGTCATCATTTGGTCACCAGCGACAATTTTAGCGATTTTTAATAGTTTGTGTGTAGTAAACTTTGTATAAACTTTATTACAATGGTGATTAGTTGTTCAGCCTTCAAGTGTAAAAGCAGCAGCGATAAGAAAGAGCCAGGAGTTACGTTTCATAGGTAAATAAACAGTCCACTCCAACTTTTTAGCGTTTTCTTATTTCGATAATTATTCTTCAATTTCAATTAACATCTATATGTACTTGATATGTGCTATACGTCAATACTAGTTTTGTACCTTTTGTTAACATTTTAATATGTTTTTTTCGTAATTAATTAGGATGATACACCATAGGGGTAGTCAAAACAATTATCAAAAAATATAAATATTGCTTCAAACAGCTAGGTTAAGAAAAATATGTGCTACAGCACTGTTTGGTGTCATCGTCACAATTTACTCTCGGGTGTTATTTGTCCTTGGATTCTTTAGTCATTGGTATGCCCATAGTCTAAAAACACTACTCGCAAAGTAAGCTGAAGTAGGTCAAGGTCAAACAATAAAGATATTTTGTGTTTCCTCATCTAACTTTGGCTCGTCGCGGCTTATTTTTATTACACAAGGAAACAAAAAAAATAACCCTTTTTACTATTTGACTTTGACCTACTTCAGTTTACTTCGCAAATAGTGTAGAGGCCGTTTTATACAAAGTCCGGCAACAGTGCGTCGGGCAGCTCCTATAAAAAAAATTGGTAATTTTGTGTGAACCTAAAGTATATACGAAGATGTATTTCAGGAAAATATTTTAACTTCTATAGGGTAGCTCAAAAAAGTGTCAGTGGATCGTGATATATATATTTTTTTAAATGGTATATTATTACATTTTTGGCTTTCCCTGTATGATTTACGATTACGATATTCCAATTGCCAAGTACTTTTCAAATCCTCCTATATTTTACAATATTTTATCACTAAATGAAAATGGTACACTTCTGCAAGAATTTTTTTTGCGTGTCATGGTTAGAAAAATTTCTAGAATGAAAAACAGAAACGTGTTTTCATGTAACTGGTTTTCATCTATTCTAAAGTTGAAAAACTGAAAATTATACATTTCCGCAGAAACATGTTTGTGACATAATCTTCAAAAAGGCCAAATAAACAAATATTTCTCACGTAACTTATTTCGAGTAAACGAAAGTAGCCCTGATTTCAGCTATTCTTAAAGTTGGAAAACTCGAAAAGGGTGGATTTCCGCAGAAAAAATTTATGGCATACTATTCCAAAAGGCGGTGACGATTCACTTTAGGGCTGTCGCGAGGATTGCATTTAAAATAAAAATTTTGCTACCAAAACAAAGTAAAAGACATTTGTGAAAGACCTAGGTGAGGAATATTCGGTTTCTTAAAACACTTTTTATATAATAAATAACACAAATGGGTACTATTTTTGACGCGGAGATGGCGGAGTAACGTCGGGTGTTCGATATTTACGTTCCGATTGACGGATGGCGTCTTGTTGCTCTAACGCACTTGTATCTAGCACTAGCAGGCAACTATTAAGCCCGACCAATCACGTTAGAGTTTTTGACAAACACAAATGAATTGACAGCCTTCAAATAACCAAGCTAACCAACCTGATTGGTCAAGCTTAAAAGTTGACGGCTAGGGCTAGACACTTCTCTCTAACGCGCATGCTAATACCGGGAACATGGACGCTTTTAAATTAACGCTACGCTTGTATATTTTTTATTTATTTAGAGTTGTTGGTAACAGCGATTGATTGCGTTGGTTAGTCTTTGGTGTGAGTTTTTTTGTATTCTATATATTTTATAGGTATATATTTTATATATTCATTGATTTTCTTTATCTGCTTTTTGGTTGGAGTGGTTCAGTTATTTGGCGGGTTGGTTAGCGTGGTTATTTGGAGGGTGTTAATTCATTGGTTATGTGGGGGGGGGGTTGGTTGGTTTTGACTAATTTATATTTTTTTTTAGATATTCATTGATTTTCTTTATTTGTTTGTAATAAATGTATATAGTAAATGTACAGTTTGAGTTAAATAGGGCAATAAAACTATATAACAACAGCAAACTAAACTAATACTGCCGAAATTGCGCGAAAAAGCGCAAAAATATTTTTGAGGTTATAAAATTTTTCTCGCTTATTTTACAACAAATGGCATTTTTCCTCACCTCAAGCTCCTTATTTTAGAGAAAGGCAGAATATGCACTTTATTTTATAGAAAATTTGTTAATTTTGACAGCCCTAAAGTGAAACGGACCCCAAAAGGCTTCCAAATACTTTATAAACAAATATTTCTTACATAACTAATTTCAAGTAAACGAAACTTGAGTCAAAGCCTCACTCAAATTTTAAAATATCTGATACTGTATTAGTTCTTATTAAATTGCATTTTAGTTAAATATTTAATTTAGTCCAACTTGGTAGTTAATCTATAAATTTTCTATACTTACTTAATTTCTATTAAATGATATCGAGCATTAGATTTATCTGACTGGCAACTTTTCAAAACACTTTGCAATGTGGTGTGAGGCATATTAAATCTTTTGCATTGATCAATTACTTGTTGTAGTTTAATATTAGAATTAGGATCAAGCGAACCACCCTCTAAAAACAATATTACTTTAATAATTACACTATCATTACCTTCTTATTCTGTACCTTGAACAGCCACTTTTATTTGCCTAGATAATTTTGTGAAATTAACATTCTTTTCAGCGTCTTTTATCCCTTTTATATGTTTTATATTTGCCCATTTCGAATGCCCAGCATGCCTCTTTAACACTAAGGATAAATTATACGATCTGCAAAATATACTTCGCTGCATTTTTAATCATAATTTTCAAATAGTTATGTAAATGTTTATATTATTTGGTTTCCATCATAGAAAAATAAATAAAAAGGTTTCAAAATCTATAATCCCAACAACTTCATAATAATTAATATAACCTACAAAAGCAAAAGCCCAAAAATCAGTGATCACCAAAGAATAAGTATTTTCATCAAGTCAAGGACAGCTGCTAGGGACGCAAACGATACATCGATGTTTGTGAAACATCGATTTTCAATGCATTTCACGCTTCACGCTACATGATGTGTCATTTCAGGATAGGGATTTCTATTATTGTTGAACCACAGCTTACAGAATAACATAGCTTGGACACGCGCCAATTTTTCCCACGCTCGAATTTAAAACGCCCTACTCCGACGATGCGCTAAATGAATTAAGCGACCGACAGTCAGCCTCATTCAGTCGATGCATAGCCTCCACCGGTGGCGCGTAGGGCCGTATTACGGAAAATTTTAATTGGATTTTTTTTCTTATATTTAGCCATAGGTATTTGTGCTTTTATTTCAATTTTATTTTTATTGATGGAATGGGAATAGGTTTTCCGGGATGTGCGGCTGCTGGTTGCACAAATAATTATGGAAATAATTCAAAATATAGTCTGTTTAATTTTCAATTCAATTCAAAATTAATGTTCAATTCAAAAGTATATTCACACTTTAGAGCTTTTCAAAACGATGAAGACTACTTATTTGGAGACTTGCTAATGCCAAGTGACCATTTTTTTATTTAGTTTCCTCATTGGAGGTTATTTTTATAAGCTTTTATTTAACTTGCTTTGTATGTAACTATCTATGTATGTATGTATGTTTGTTCGGGGCAAATCTTGTAAGCTAAATTAAAACCACTTCCTTTTATTGTAGGAGATTGAAATTTGGCATGTAGGTTCAGTCCCAATGACAATACATTTTTTTGCAAGGCATGACCCGAATTTTTGACAGCTGTTAAAATGGCGGCATTTTTGAGGTTTTTGATTTTTTAAAATTCTATTTATGAATGGATCGGGCTGAAATTATATATATATATATATATATATATATATATATATATATATATATATATATATATATATATATATATATATATATATATATATATATATATATATATATATATATATATATATATATATATATATATATATATATATATATATATATATATATATATATATATATATATATATATATATATATATATATATATATATATATATATATATATATATATATATATATATATATATATATATATATATATACCGACCTGGTCATTTGATTACTGTGTATAGGATTTTAACGTGTAAGACAGAGAATAATATAAATGACCGGTTGACAGACAGAGAGACAGCATCAAAAAGGGGCCGGCGAGAAGCCGGTGCGACCGATACAGTGTTGCCGGTTTTACGGGTGTGGGCAAGGTAAAGCATAAGCATGGTGGGAGAACGCATTGAGAGGGGCGGTGCTTTATGTTAAGGTTCGTATTCACTATCCGAAAGAACAAAGGAATGAAATTCGGTATATTTGGACAGCAAACCGAATGCATGCGGCCGTTCGCCATTCGGTTCGCTCCCTCATCTGTTTCCATTCGGTATATCAAAGACGTTCGCAAACGAATGAGAATTATAGAACCGCGCGAACAAGACTGGACGTTCGCTCGTTGGATAGTAGCATTCGTTCGTTCGGATAGTGAATACGCACCTTTATGTAGATGAAAAGGTGGGGAAAGGAAATAGATCACCTGAGATCCAAACTATTTTTGCATCATTCTTTTCGCCTAGCTGTTTCGGTGTGTACGTTAAGTGTTTCAAAAATGGCTATTTATACGACCGAAGAGAAGGTGCATATCGTTAAATGGTTTTACATTTCCTCAAGTGTGGAAGAGGTCATTGGGCGTTATGTGTTCACCTTTCAAGATCGCCCTGTGCCTTATGCCACAACTGTACGCAACATTGTTCATAAATTTGAGCAAACAGGCTGCATTGCGGCGTGCAGAAATTGTGACAATAAGGAAGGCGCAGAGAAGGTAATTCCCGACAAGGAAATTAATATTTGTGCCGCTGTCGAAACAAGCGAACCTTGTTCAAGCCGAAATATAGCCGAACAAGTTGGTTGCAATGCTCGAACGGTGCGCAGAGTTTTAAAAAGGCATGGATATAAGTCCTACAAAATCAGACCACGCAAGAAATTTTTCCCGCAGATTGTAACAGACGTCTGAGTTTTGCGAGGCTGTAAGAGAAAGAGCCGATCGGAATCATTTATTTTTGAAAATATATTATTCTCAGATGAAAGCTCGTTTCCCTTACATGGCTACCACAATCCTTCGATAGTACGTTATTGGTCTCGAGAAAATAAGCACCTTAGTATGGCACTGCGGACACAATATCCACAAAAACTAAATGTTTGGGCTGGCATGCTGCAAAATCATATCATTGGGCCTTTTTTTATTGATGGTATGTTAACAGCTGCCAAATATTTGGATATGCTACAAAACCAAATTGTACCAGCAGTTCGAAATTTGCCAATCAATTTTGAGGAAGTGTGGTTTCAGCAGGATGGCTGTCCTGCGCATAACGCGCGGAACGTAAATCTGTTCCTTCAAACCACATTTCCCAATCGGCTAATTTCCACACAAGGCACAATTAATTGGCCACCACGTTCTCCTGATTTGTCGCCCAATGACTTCTTTCTGTGGGGATATGTAAAAAACTCCATTTATGGCCATAACCATGAACGACCCATGAATATTGACGAGCTGCGATTAAAAATCGTTCAGTCGTTAGAAAATATCCCCGCTGTTATGTTAGCTAAAGTTAGGTCAGAGTTTTATAACCGTCTTGGCTATTGCGAAGCACAACAGGGAGGTATTTTTGAACCTTTGATTTAATTTTTTATAATTATTTTGCTAATTGTCCTTTTTTAAAGTTGATTTTTAGTCATTTTTTAATGCTTGTTTTAACTTATGGTGAAACAGCAACAAGCATGAGCAGTGTAGATACAACCGGACGTTTAATTATTTTTATTGTTAAAAGATTAAACGTCTCGAGATGTATGGATAACCTTCAAAATCGTAAATATATTGTAGAATGATGTACACCCAACCCCTTTCAAAATCCGACTGATTTGATAAATTTGTGAAAGTATGTCTACCGTTCTACGACTTCGATACTATCAGTGTTGCCATATGAAGTTTTGAAAATTTCCTGAAGCCTGGTTGGCACGGTCAATCTACCAACAAAAAATATTCTTTTAAAATATTTATCTGATGATACTTTTAGAAATGCCAAGTTTGAGAAAACAAATTAAATACACACACTAAATTGTGTCCAAAAATATGCTTTCTAAAAATGTATTTCCTGGATAGAAACCTTAATGTTAGGGAATATTTCCTAGACCTGGCATCTACGGCCATATTCTCTCCCACCACTTGATTTGTCTCACCCCGCCTCTCGAAATGTGGAAGCAAAGACATTATAAAAATAGACCGAACATCTCATTCATAAATACTCGTTGGTAGTGTATCAAACATTCCAATGTGTCAAACAAGGACAGAAGAGACAGAGAAGTCTAAAATTTCCGACCCCGGCAACTAGGCGCATTTGGATTGTTCTAATGGCCAGTGGCGTATCGTTTTTTGGAACGAATTTAATTAGTAAAGTAAAAGTAAAGTAATTAGTAAAATTTTTACTCCATACTAATATACTACATTAACACTTTTTCGTTAGATGAGTTTTGTTATAAGGTCTAATATAATAATATAATTAATATCCCACATATACTTATGTTGAAACGTTAGTAGGTAGTTTTCGAAAATCGCTCCAACGTCGATATTCAATTTAAACTTTCAGTTACTTCTATATAAACACTCAGTTACTTTTGAATACTTACAGGGTGACTCAGGCTTCCGAAACAGTTCTATATTAGGTTTATGGTTAGTGACTTTTCTTTCAATTTTTTTTTAGAATATGGAGGCAATGGTAAACCACGTTTTAGACATTTTTCTAATCATAGGTGGCCGGAACATATTTTCAAACTAAAGTTGTAGATTTGCCATTAAATTTCCATTCCAGAAATACCTAGGGTTGTCACCTGTCCTTTTTTGAAAAGGACAGTCCTTTTTTGGAATAACTTGTCCTTTTGACTTTTTTTGACTTAAAAAGCCATTTTTATTTACGTATTTTCCCTGAGAGAAGAAGGGAACTTACAACTTCCCGTTTAATCTCTGAGAAAATTACCTACAGCAAACAGAAATATTCTTTTCGTCCAAATTTAATTAGAGATGTTATAAAACCTATAAATAAATGTTTCTTGTTTAGAATAAGCAACATTATTTAGAATTTCCCGTTTAATCTCAAATGATAGTTTAGGTTTTAGTTTTACCTTTTTTGATCTTAAAAAGAACTTTTCAAAATTAGTAATTAGTAACGATTTAGTTAGTTCGCAATCGATAGCTTCCTGTGAAGTACTGTGTAACAGTTGTTTAATCTTGTATTATTAATAACTTCCTATACCTAAAATCAATATTTATTTTAATCCTTTTAGTCTCTCAATAGAGGGCATTTATCATTAAAAGTATCAAATTTGTGTGCTACAGTATGGGATTTCTGTCGCATAATAATGAATATTACGTTTATTTTACAAATCCATTTCTTAGGTAGCTTAATCAGACAATCAAATTTTAGTTAAACGTCCCAATCTTCATGAACTGTATTAAGCATATGTATTGCGGTTTGAATCACCCTGTATGTTGACAAAAATATATTTGAAATGTGCGTCACAATGGCCCCTGATCTTATGTAAAGATTGAAATAAAATCACAAACCAAAAACGTAATAGGTAAAAAGCTTTTTGGAGGCCTGGTCACTCTGTATATAGGTATGTATAAAACTAGTAGCCTAAGAATTATTTATAGTTCGTCCCCATGATACAAAGAATACAAGGTATGATATTGCGCAGGTTGGTCACTACGTCACAGGTGATAAACGGCACCATTGGTCGGCAAGCTCCGCGCGCCAATTTCAAATTGCCAAACAGATGACACAATAAATGCGAAAATATATATATATAAAAATATATATTTTAGGTCTTTTTTTTATTAGTGGCAATTGAACAATATGGATATTTTTTTGTATGGCGTATGACGTCACAGGTGGTATGCGCAAACTTAACGAAATTGGAGCC